TTTTTTTTTTTTTTTTTTTCCTTCTCATCTCCCATTTTGCCATACACTGTTACATGCCTACCTATGTGAACCATCATGGGGAGTCTCAAACGGAATACCCAGTCTGTTGTTCGTTCTGAGTAGTTTGTTTATTCGTTTGTTCGTTTGCTTGTTTGTTTGTTTATTTTTTTCTTTTTTTTTTTGTTAACCCGCTTTTTACGTCTCTCCCGGGAAGCTACATATATATATGTTTGCGTTTATGTAACATACGGGATTAACTGCCCATGATAGGGGGGGAGGGATTCACAAAAGAGCTAATCTAAACTTCATCGAGTTGTGTATGCCCACTTGTTAACCTCACACTGAGCAGTTCTTCCCCTTCTGCGTCTTGTTGCCCATTTTGTCGTCCATTTCCTCCCCTTTTTTTAACTGTTATCCCTGGTGAGCGGACAAATGGACGACCTGAAAAGGCGCGTGGTAAATCCTCACTGCTCAGATGATATATGTGTGTGTGTACACGGGCGTTAAAGTTGTAGCTTCATGGACGAAGCCGAGACCACCTCCTCCTCTCCAAATTGCTCTTCCTTTTTGTCTGAAATTATATGTGTGGAGAGTCCGTTTTGGAGAAAGAGAGGGAGGGCAACGAGCCGATGTATGAGCATCCCGACCGGGGTGTTCTTTATTAGTTGCTTCTGCTATCGCCCTTTACTTCCATCCCACACGCAGGCCTACAAAGCAGTCGACGACTACGTCCAGTCCAATATGACTATTGGGCTCGGGACTGGTACCACTGTCTTTTATGTACTGGAGCGAATCGAGAAGTTAATGCGAAATGGGAAGATCAAGGATGTGGTGTGCATCCCCACCAGCATCGACACGGAGATAAAGGTTAGCACAAGGGGGGGTGTAAACCCAAGGGCGACACTTTTCCCGCGGGCAGTGATTCCTACACATGAGGGCCTACTTTTATCCTCCTTCCAACCGATTGGAAGTGCTCGTGTTCCCCTTCTCAACTTTTCTACATCGCACATCCTGACCTGATCGAACGCAGGCCAGAAATTTAGGCATCCCCCTGACGACTCTGAAAAAGAATTCGAACGTCGACATAGCCATAGACGGTGCGGACGAAATTGACATGGATCTAAATTTGGTGAAAGGACGAGGCGGGGCCCTCGTGAGGGAGAAGTTGGTTGCCTCCAGTGCATCCCTCTTTATAATTGTAAGGCGAGCAGATCAGTGGAGGAAGTGAAAGCCTATAGAGTGTCTTCTCTCTTTGGAGGGAGGCTGGTCTCTCTTTAAAAAGTGGCCGCGTGGTGTAGCCGCGTTAGGCTCGACGGGCAAGCCTATTGTACATTTCGAGTAATGCTGACGTCACAGCGTTCGTCTACACTTCTCCTATCTCATTGTGCAACCCTCCTTTTTTTTCTTGCCTCCTGCCCCCTTGCGAAGATTGTTGACGAATCCAAACTATGCACGAACGGCCTCGGCACGAGGGGAGCAGTGCCGATTGAAATCCTCTCCTTTGGACATGAGAAGATTATCCAGAATTTGCTGAAAATCTCTTCTCTCCAAAAGGGCAACTATAAGTTGCGGGAGAAGAACGGGGAGGTGTACATAACGGACAACAAGAACTACATCGTCGACTTTTACTTCGCCAACCCGATCGAGGATCTGCTGGACACGTGCCACAAGATAAAGATGGTGAGGGCTGCGGTTTGCGCGGCGGTTTGATTGAGGCCCCGTTTGACCGCTTCACTGTTTCACCACTTCACCATTTCACCTCTTTGTCACTTCCCCCTTCGCAGACCACGGGCGTCGTAGACCACGGGATTTTCCTAAACATGACGAGCGTAGCGCTGATAAGCAAACAGGACGGGACGGTCCTGAAGTTGGACAAGCACGAAGGCAGTTGAGGAGTACTCCGCGGGGTGGCTATCCATTTTGGTCATCCAATTCGCTCGTCTGCGCCTTTTTCCGCCCCTCGGAGCTTCCCCTTGGCAGAAAAATCTGCTGAACCGTTCATACAAAAAAAAAAAAAAAGAAGCAACCATGGCAGCAGCAAGAATTAAAACATTTCACTAGCTCCACCTTCATTTGTTTTAATTACAAATTAAAGAGTACCTAAAAACTTAGGCCCTTTTTTTCTTTTTTCGTCACTGGAGCATGTGTGTATGCCTCTGCTTTGATGCTTATTCGTATGTGTTTTTTTTTTTTTTTCCTTTTTTTTTGCCTTCTTGCACTGTTATGTTGTCCCGCTCGAAGGTGTGTATGTACATGTACCCAGACAGCATATGTCAAGTTATGAATCCACGTTCACTTGTGTTTGAAGTCCCTGGCCCCCCGCGTGAACCGTTTTCCAGCGCAGAGTTGTTTTCGGGCACAGTTGCTTTCTCCCACAGTTGTTTTCTCTTACAGTTGTTTTCGCGCACCGCTGACCATTTCACGTGCCATGCACCCTTGTTTTAAATTTTTAATCAGTTCACCATTGTCCCCTCGCCAGTGCAGTTTCCCCACTTTAGTGCATCGTGACTCCCTGCAGCCCACTCGATGGTTCGCCTCACTGCGTGCGTATCATCGTCTTTATTTCCTCTTTCCAAAGAACACCAACACCGCTATTTGCTACGATGTATTTGTTTAAGAAGGCCAAAGATTCCATTGTCAATTCGCTGCAATATGATAAGGGTTCTCCCCTTATGCAGCTAAAAAGCGTCTGCAAGGGGATCCTTCGGGCCACATTCCTTGTCTCCTTCGCGTTACTCTTGTTAATTGTGTCAACTTTGTACTTTGAGCGGACCTTTTTTATCAACAGAGGTGCGCACGAAAATGGCCCATTCGACGTGTCGCCCCGATATGGGGCATAGCACATTGGTTCGTATATCCCTCGTACGTGTATGTGGCTGCGTCCATTAAGTGACCATGCAGCCGCTTCCTCTTTTCCCATCAACTCACCATGATGATGCTTCCTCTTTGCCGCGTGACAGACCTGCTGCAGATCCTCGCAGTGGCATCGCTGCTCCTCTGTCTGCTGTCCCTAACCATCCTGAGAAGAAAAAGTGGAACCTACATTTATGCCAAAGTCGAGATGTACCCTTTTTCCTTTAAGGACTTGATTGACGTGTCACTGGCGACCGGGACGGTCACGATTTCCGTGCTGGACATCTTCCTGGTGTGTTTCTACCCGCCGGAATGCAGCAACCTGTGTGGGATGTACTATATATATATAGTTCGTGTAGCGTCAGTGCCGCTTTTTCACCCCCCACACACATGATCCGACTTCCATCACCACCCCTTCTCTCAGTGCTACCTTTGCCTTATTGTGGGGTTCTTCACCTTTTTAACGGGTACCCTTCACATGCTTATTTTATTTTATTCTATTTTATTTTTTTATGACTAGCATCTCCGCTGCTACGTTACGTGAGTAGGAGCAAGTACATTTCTGTGCCTTTCCTTCCTTCCCACCCCACAGCGTTGTTTTCCCTTTATGTATGCCTAGACAGCTCGCAAATGAAGGACAACGAGAATATCAGCCTTTTCAGTAATGAGCCTCTGATGAGCGTTACATCATGGAAGCATCATTACCCCCTGGGTGTCTTCCCCATTTTTTTCTTGTGTACTGTTTGACGTTTATTTTGCCCTACACAGTCTGTGCATACTTCGTTTTTCCGTGCACTTTTGGTGTTGTGTGCGTTTTTCTCTGCACCCTTTGTTTTTTTTTCCCCCTCTCGCAGGCATGCAATTTACGTCCGTTTCGTACATCGGGCTGTACGCGATAACTCAGTTTTGTGCATTCAAATCGATGCCCTACCACCCAGTGGAATATTTGTGAGTTCAGGAGGAGGGCCATTTCAGAGTAGTGTCAACGGGACGAGTGTCTGTTTAACGAGGAAGCATATGCGTGGACACCCCTGCATGTGCAGCATGACGCGCTGTGGATATCTCCCAACTTGCACGCACATCCTTATTCTTTCTTTTTTTACTCCTCCCCCTTTAACATCGCAGGGGATATATAGCTAAAAACATCATGGAGGACATCTTCTGCGTGGTGAAAAAGGCGTGGAAGTTTATATACTAACATAGCAAAAGTGAGTAATTGCCTGCCCAATATATTATTTATCATTTTATTCCTTTGGAAGGCCTCTCTCGAAAGGTCCTGGAGAGAAGCTGCTGCGTGGACGCCCGACGGACTTCTCCCCTGTTAATTTGTACATAACATGTATTTGCTTTTTTTTTTTCCATTTTTTTTCTCTTTCTTCTTCCTTTCCATGCACGACCAAAGTTGTGGCAAGTTTTTTTTTTAAATTATATGGACAGAGTTGACCGAAGGAGAGTGCTATCCCCCCCAATTGGTGGGCTCAGAATTTCATTTTGTGCCATGTACACACCTGTGTGAAAGACCCTCCTGAAAAAACTTAATTATTTTATGTAGAAACGAAACGAAGAGCATGAACATGGATGAATTTGTTTACCCTTTTTTCCTGAAAATGTTCAGGTGATTTTTTTTTTTTTGTCTTCCTATCAACTCGCCAAGATACCAACCTAGCAACATACCAATCAACCAACATGCCACCCTTACCTATATGTGCCCCCCAGAGGGTTACCTCCCGGGGGTGGACGTTTAAAGATAACTTAGGGATCGGCGGTTTCCCCACCAGTTAGAAAAGTAGTGAAGCTTCCAACTGACGCATTAGTGGCAAGTTTTCAGTGCTATCGCTGAGGGGGGGAATTACGCGACTTTTGGTATGCATCTACATACCACCCGTTGGTCTAACTTCCCCGGAACAACATTGTCGTCAATTTTTCCTTTTCAATTTTTCCATGGCACTGCTGACAATGTTAAGTGTGTGCTACTGGCCGCACTAATTAAAAGTATTTTTTTTAAAGTGTTGCCTGGCAGTGTATCGTCGGGGGGAACAAACGTGCTGAACGAACGTGGTGGACGGAACGAGCCGGTCGAACATCAAACCAATTTCGCAAAAGTGGCATACCATGGGGGAGTTTTATACTCCCCATTTGGAGATTCACTCCGAATCGGCAGAAGGGCGTTTTGCGTGCTACAATTGGAGGCGGTGCGCGTGGTGCTCTTTTCGCCTCTGATCCTTGCCTCTGCGTCGGGGTCGCTACTATGCGGTACGTCGTGACTGGGCGAAGTGCCTCTTACTGGCGTGCGCGAGAAGAATATTAAGTAGCAGCCGTGATAGCTCAGTTGGGAGAGCGTCAGACTGAAGATCTGAAGGTCCCTGGTTCGATCCCTGGTCACGGCAGAAACATATATACCTATTTTTTCTGAACGGAGTTAAAAATAAAGAATTCATTTTAGCACTTTTTTTGAACTGTCAAAGCGTAGAACAGGTAAAAGGAAAAAACTCCTCCTTTTTAACTGGCACTTGGTAAGTTTGCGCATCTTTCACGTTTGGCCAATGCCCCCCCTTTTTTTTGTGCTTTTATGCATTAGTGGGCACTCTTTCTATGCTGCAACATTCGCCGTGGCGACAGACTTCCTCCCTCCTTTGTCACTCGCTTCTAACGCGACAAAGGGGTGAAGAAGCGGCGGTATATCACCATGCTACAAACCATTCGTAGGTTCATCCCCTTGCTGTGAAGTAGCCGATAATTGGAGCTTTACCTTATTGGGCTAATTCACCGCTCAGTTGGGCATCTTTGGGGCGCCGATTTGGACCCCCCCGTGTGAGGCATCTTTCTCCAAAAGGGCTACATTAATAAGGAGGGTTTCATTTCGCTGGAGGGAAGTGACAACATATAGGGGGCAAAGGGATGAAACGATCTGCCCTTGTGGGGAATGCTTCTCCCCGTTTCTGCCGCAGCACCTTCATGTGAGGTACCACCTGTGTTTCCCTGAAGGAGCAAGGCGATTTGAACCAGTGGGGGCTAAACCACTGGAGGCTAAACAAATCGAATCGGTTAAACTGTCCGGATGGGTAAAAAAGCGAAAAATGAAGATGCGTTTCTTTGCAGTATCAACATAAGTACGTACGCTTCCGCGGTACACTTGTGCGCTATATTTGCACCCGTTCAGAGTGAGACCTCCCCCGCTCAGTCGCAGAAAACGGCGCGCTTCACATTCCCCAGGTTGAGCGCAGCCAGGAGGTAGCGTTCCAAGCCGAGCGCCAACCCCCCATGGGGCTTCGAACCAAAGCGAAACGAATTGAGGTATTTCCTTAAAGTGGAGTCACTGTCTATGAGTTCTTCACACTTTTTGAGGTAATCCGAAATGGAGAATTTGCTCTCTTCTGTGAAGGATAATGCAGGGGAGAAGTTCCTTTGTTGGTTTTCTACCGATCCAGAGGCGTTCACTACTTTGAATAGAAGAATGGGCAAATGATTGATTCGCTGACTGCCGGAAATAATTTCGACTCCTTTGTAAAAAAAATCGAAGCTGTTAGTATACCTCATATCGTATAGGTTGTGTGCTGTGTAGTATGGTCTGAGGTGCCATGGGTACTGATCGATTATGAATAAGTCCACATCGAAATTTTTTTTAAAAAAGTGATGTAAGAACTGCAGTTCTTCATTGGTGAAGTCGGGAGAGTGCAGGTATCTTTCCTTTAACTCTCTGCTTTGCGCCGATTCGGTTACACACACTTCGTATCCTTCCTCTGCGTCCTTGCGTAGAAGATTCAGCATGGAGTGTTTACATTCGACCTCTCTATCGTTTTCTCCAGCGGATGCTGTGTCTTCTGTGTGAAGTGACGCATTTGTCGCCGTACCTCCATCATACAGGCGGTGAAGAAAGAGTAGTACCCTCTTGTAGAGTTCGTCTCGATCGAACCCGTTTAGGAAGGCATACACCTTCTCGCAGTGTCTATCGTCTTGGTGGTTCCCTTGCCCTGGGGATGGCTTCCCACCGGTGCGAGCCCTTCCCTGGTGCACCCGATACATGCTCTCCACCTTCCGATTATAGTACACGTTGTGTAGTAGGGCACCTGGGGGTGCCTCAAATGACAGCCTTCTCTTCAATTGGTCCTTTTCCTCATCGATGAGAATCTTTACCCCTCCCTTTGTAAAGTCACATGGTGCGTGTGACTTCTTCTTCCTCACACCCCCCTCCTGTATGTCAAACGGAGAACACTCATCAGTAGCGCTAAACGAGCTTGAAGAATATCTGTCTAGTATATCTCTTGCCTCGCAAAAGGAGAGTACAAAAGGAGTGTCGGGAAATTTGCTGGCCTCAAAATGGGGACCTCCAAAAGAAGAGCTAATCAGACGTAACTCCTCCGTTGAAGTATGAAGTAAGTACTCATTTAATCGCTTCAGCAGATCATACATAGGGATAATAATTTCGTAGTAGTTATGATAGATGACTCTCTCTATGTCCAGCGAAAGGAACTCGTTGAGGTGCCTGGACGTGTGGAACTTCTCATTTCGATAGGAGTAATTCATCTCGTAGATTTTCTCAAAATCGGAGTTTATTAGCATCTGCTTGTAGAATTGGGGGCTCTGTGCTAGTATGACTTTTTCTCCCTCGATTTTGTAGCACCTGGATCCTCCTTCCGACCCGTTCAGTTGGAAACGGGAGGGGCGATCAAGAGAAGCGGAAGGGGAAGTGATGCGCGCGGCGGAATTAGCATCATCTGCTGTGTGCTCTCCATGGATGTACTCCGAGTCACCTACGTCCTGCTCCACAGTGATGGCCGCTTTCCTCTGGGTGTTTCCCCCCCCGAGGTCAACCATCTTAGACGTGAACACCTCTGTGTGACCATCCCGCCGCAGCATCTCCCTCAACTGGTGCGCAATTCGGCTCTTCATTTGAAACACGATGTGGTTCACGGGGTGCCTGTGGTGGAGGCTGGGGTGTTGCAGCTTCAGGATGACTTCGCTGGTGTTGAGCTTTGTGGGCGGGCGGGCAGCACCATGGTGGGTATCATCAGCGTCGAGCTTATCACTACCATGGGACTTATCATCACAATCGAGCTTATCACTACCATGGGGCTTATCATCACCATGGATCTTATCACTACCATGGATCTTATCACTACCATGGAGCTTATCACCCCCACCGATGCTGTCACCGCCGCGGATGCTGCTACCTGTATGTGCCGCCCAAAACGCCCTGCCCTCGTTCACCATCACAGGGACATCATCAAACGATTCTGAGACACATCGGATGCTGGTCACGACGATCTCTATGCACTTCTCATTGAGTACGCTTTCCACAAAGGGAACCCTACATCTGACGAGATCACCATGTACCTTGACATGTCCAACGATGTCCACCACACTTTCGTTTCGTATCTTTTTTATATAGCTATACAGATCATCCTCTCCTTGATTGCTTCCTCCTCTCTTTTCATACACACAGGTGAGATAGACTCCTCCATCTTGTCTTAGGCGAAGGAAAATCCTCTTCGATTGCTTCACTTTCTGTTCCACTCTTCCTCTAATGAGAGTGTAATTCTTGTCGATAATGGTCCTCCTTGTGCTTCCCTCTGGGTGAGTACCTTCATTGGAGGGGTTAGTACAGGGGGAGAATTCCCCTCCGCGCTGCTCAATGTAGTGGACAATCTGTTCATACGTTGAGAAGCAATTTTTACTACTTGCGATTCCATAGAAAAAGGAAAAGTCGCCCACTTGCGCCAGGTGCCGTAGGTCGGGTTCGCCTGAGCGATATAGTAGGGGGGCATCTTCACTGTGATTACTCTCATTGGGGTTTTTGTTCTGCCCCCCCCCGTTCAGACTGGCACTATAAAGGACAGAGCTGCGACTTCTCCCCCCGGAAAAGCGACATATATATTTCTTTCTTTTCTTGCCATGTGAGAGTCCTCTGGTCGTGTTATCGTTCACCCGAAGGAAGGCTACTGGTGGTGGGACGTCACCTCTGAAAAGGCTACTCAACTGACTTAACGTTTTTTTGTGTATCCTACTTCGGGGAAGAAGGCAGTTGTTACTATAACCCTGGCTGGGACTCTGCCGAGCCGGACTTCTACCATAGGGTAGCGGTTCTCTCTTAGGGGTCCCTTGACTTAATTTTAAGTTACTGCTCCACTTCTGCTTGTAGCAGAGGATGGACTTGTGCAGGTACGCCATCAGGTGCATGCGCCACAGGAGGAACACCCCCCTTGCAAGTTTCATTTTGGCGCCATTGGTTACTCTGCCGCCTCCACGCTGTACACCTGAGGGAAGGGCCAAGGAGGGAACTTTACACTGTCGTCACTTTCTCGATTATGCTCTCTCCATTACGGTCGTTTCGCTACCAAAATGGGATGGGGGAAAAAAGAAACCGTCGCGGGCAAGTCAAACGAGAAAGCGGTTTGAGTGCCGAGTGTGACGAAGAGAAAGTGCACTGAGTTCCCCCACCGAGAAGTTCCTCCCAATTTGTGTACCGTTTCGACCTAAATGAACAACGCGCAAAACGAAATTGGAGACCTCGCAAGAGGTTTTTTTTTCACCTTTGATGTTTTGTGACCAGAGGGTCTACACGCAGTGGGGGATCACTCCCCTAGGTGGTAAATACGACCCCTTGGTTCATGTGCAGCACCTCGTCCACTTCGCGTTTGCACAAAAATTGAAAAAAAAAATGTTACGATTAGTCAGTTCAGTCGTTACACAAATGGGGGGGAAATTATCATAACTGGCATGGAGTCAAATGGGATGGCCACAAAAAAAAAAAAAAAAAAAAAAATATATCCAGGGCTGAGTGGATTAACAGTGGGGGAGAAATGCAACGATTAGGAGACACCCCGTCGTGACGATGTCGATGGGGTAGTGAGGTCTCCCTTTGCGGGGGAATTCTTCTATAAAGGGGGACCCCTCCTCTGCCCCCACCTAAAGTTATCACTGCGCTGTTAAAGCTGTCGCTAGCTATGCAGTTCCCAGTTAGCTCTCCTTGCCGCCTCCCCCCTGATGTTCGGGCGGAATGCTCCCCACCAGATTGAGAAAGAGGAAGACCCAGAAGTCGCGGCTGGTGACCAGACAGTTGAGAAACTTCCTATAGGGGGCGCTGCAGGCACTTCGCAGGGTATTCACATTATGGACACTCAATTTCGTGTTGAAGGGCGAAAAGAACAGAGCCCAAAAAAAATTGTACTTCTTGTGCTGCATGAGTATCTGCAGCCTCTTGTACATGTCCTTGTACAGGTGCCATATGTTCGCGGCCATTGATCTGTGCACTTTTAAGGAGCCTTGACCGACTAGAACGAACTGCGATTCGTCTGCATCGTGTTGGTAGTCCTCTCTGTTACCCCCATCGCGGGGAGTACAAACCGCATAGCCCCCCTTTCTCATGATTTCATCGAAAACGTTCCACACATGATGCACAATCCCCACGTGGCTGCAGCTCCTCAGAAGGTACAGAAGCACATCGGAAAGGTCCAGCCATATCATATCATTCATGTAGCCAGTGTCAATGTGGCTCTCTTCTTTCCCATTTTGGCTAGCTCCTTGCCCATAAAAAGTATCCCTTTTACTTTTCCCATATTTCGATGGGATCAAATTTTGTACCTTCATAAAGTTGTCATACAAGTCTGGATCAATTTTTTTTCTTATCTCCTCGGAATCAAAGAGATACGGTTCATAATCGTTTTTACTGTTCCCTCTGCATCTAATTAAGAAGCTCATATTTTCACTCAAGAGGATGTTAAAGAAGGTCGTATAATTCTCCCAGAAGTAGTTCCTCAAATGGTGAAGCATATTTTTACAGTCATATTCAATTGCGTTGTAAAAGAAAAGGCTATATTTCCCATGGGCGTAGTACAGCTTAAAATTATTAACCTCGTCATCCTCTATGGAGGAAAATAAACTGACCTCCTTGTGGATCTTCTCCAAGGTGGTATTCCTCTTCTGGTAGTACGAGGGCGGGTAGGAACACCTGTACATGGTCTCGTGGTTCTCCTTAATATTTAGACACGCCTCCTTAAAGTATAGCATGAAATTATTAACGTGCCTGTTGATTGCTCTCTTCTTTTCTTCGATGCTCATTTGGGTCACGTCATTTAGGAAGTTCCTTTGTAGGAACAGCTCGTACGGGTCACCTTCCATTGGGGGGTTCTCCGTTTGAGCCCTCTCCTTTTGAGACTTCTCCTCCCCTTGGGACTCTTCCCCCTCCTGGGCGATCCCCTTCATGACGTAGTGCAAGTGGCTAAAGTAGGATACAAACATGTTATACAGATAAATGGTCTCTTCGCTGAATTCCCTGTAGGCAGTCACCACCGGGTTGCACTCCCCTAGGTCTTTCTTCCCTCCAGGGATGTTAAGTTCTCCTTTCATTTCTGGCCCGCCATCCTTTTCTAAGGGCGCCCTGTTCGGCTGCTTCTTCAGGGGGTCATAACCAAGCAATATTTGCACGTTCACGTTCCTTTTGTTTGTTTCCTGATTGACGTTATTTTGGGGATTCTTCTCTACTTCCGTCTTCACTATAAAGTATCCCGCCGCCTTGTAGTTGTGCTTCGTTTTTTCAGACACGCGGCTACTTACCGGGGGGTTTGCGTCTTGGGGACGCTTCCTGGATGGCACGATTTGCCATTCGGGTCCCCCGGAGCTGCAACTCGGGTTGTCACTCAAATCGGCACGCGGGTGGCTGTTCAGATAGACGCGTGGACCGTAGCTTAGATGGCTCCTTGGACGTCCGCTTAACCCGCCGCTACACTCGGAGGAGGGGAGCCACTCCGCTGGCCGCATCTCCCCCCAGCCTTTCGCAACGCCCCTGTAGTGGTGGAACGACTTCGACCTGTTGGGCTGCCCCGCACTCGTCACATACTCCTTCTTGGCTATTCGTTTAGCTCCACTTTGAAATCTCCTTTGACCCAAAAAACGTAAAACCGGACTTAAGTACCCGTTGACATTTTTCCTCATTTTGTTCCCATTCATGTTTGTGTAGTTGCCGTTGTACACGGGGGAGAAGGGCGGTATCTTCACGCCACTCATGCAAATGGGAGAGCCTCTTACGTTGCAGAGAGGGGGACTCCCTGGCACGACGTTGTTGCCACTGTTGTACATGGTTTGTGCGGGTGGGTTCATGTGTGGATGGGTGCAACCATATATACATACATACGCGGTATATATATTTTCACCGACACGTTGGCATCCTTTCTGGAGGAACGAAATCAATTCGCGACTGCCTCCGCGGGTGCCTGCTTAACGGATTAACTGGTGAGTATGCAAACAGGGGGGGTGAAGGGAAAAAAAAAAAAATAAACAAAATAGAATAATAATAGCAAAATAAAAAAAAAAAGAAAGAATAGAATGACCTACGCAACGGTTAGTAAAACCATAACTGTTGGCGTAAAACTTAAGGGGGCGGTATACATCACGTGTCCTTCTGCAAGCGGCTTTTATAGTACCACTTGGGGGGAGGAGAAAAGAAATAGCTTACAGTCAAGGATATGTACAAGAATTGCACCCTGTGGATGTACAACGGGGGTATATAGCGACTTTCAAGCGTTTCGTTTTTTATATGCCACAATGAGATATTATACGGCTCCTCCGTCTTGGACTGAAAAAAAAAGTCACCAACACTGATCAAGGCTCCCGTTCTGTGGATCCCCTCCCTTCATCCTATTAGCTAATCTCCCTCGGATGGATAAAATCATCCTGTGAGAACATTTCTAATCATATGTTCACTGCTCAAAGGGGTATCATAAAAACGGCTGCAATAGTGCGATGCTAACGATGCTGAGAAAGGTATGTAACATTCGTTGCAACGTTGCCGCATGCGCGCTTCCCACCTGCTTGTAGGCGGAGGGGAATATATGCCGTACGGCGAGGCGCATAAACAATGTACTGGAAAAGAGTTGCCAAACAGTTGCAAAAAGAAGTAACCATTAATAACCCCACTGTAACTGTACAAACGATGTTTGTGAGAATGTATGCCAGGGACGGACGCAACAAAAAAAAAAAAAAAAGGAGACGACCGAAGTGACAAAGCTCTAGGAATAGAAAAAAAAAAAAATAAAAGTACAATGCAATGCAAACAGTATATATATTGCTATGCTCCCATTTTACGCGCCAAAATAACCTTGCCGTTCAGGTATTTTTTTTTTTTTTTTTTTGCAAAAATAGCTAGCTAAAGCATTGTGGGTTAACTTTTCTGTATGGGCAAAATTACTGGTAGGAAATTACAGGGTAATTTCTCGTTATGTCATCATTTAACAGAAGGAAAAATATAACTATCACTAAGCTTTTCGGGGGGACGCTTAGCAAGCATAGGAGGAGCAAAGAAAGGCATGCATTTTGCTCCCCTTTTATGCCCCTGGGATAACACGGACGCACAAAGGCCGCTTTCATATATGACGAAAAAAGGAGACGGAAAAAAGGAAAGGGAAATATTTGGTCGTATCATATGGCATTCACGTTTACCCTGGTAGGTCTCAATATTCCATCCGACCCGGTACTACCATTTTAGCGTCTGGAATAGTGGCAGCAGGTTCATCTTGTGCCGCGTCCTACATGATAAGCCACTCGATAGATACATATATAAGTGCATAGTTACCGGGGAGAATTACTGCTCACCGCTTTTCACAGCGTAGCTGCGAAGCACTACCCCACGCGCGTGTCTTTAGGCATGTTCACCACTTGAGCTGCAGTTTCCCAAGGGGATCCCTTCTCACATCAGCCCAGGGGAACACATTCGAAGCAATTCCCATGTTGTGGCCATTGCGCACGTTCGTATCTCCCCGTTTGGAAAAATTAAGAGGCAAAAATTAAGGGTGCCAAAATGTGTGTAATCTTTGGGGTGACCTCAGCACACGGGGAAGGCGGTTTCACCACTTTTTAAAAAAAACTGCCCCACCTGAAAGTATGCCTTTTAAGTGAGGTACGGAAAGGAACAAACAAACGACGTGTATGTTTTCGCTCCGTCTGATAGGACGTTATGATCTGCTATGTAAAGGGGGGGGACTACACATGGATCATTGGTGTTATCAAACCAACTTGTTCAACTAAACTTTGGAGGCTCCCCTTTTTGGTCACGCCTTTTGTGTGCAAGTGGGGACGAAATTCCTCTCCATGTTGATATCTTTTTTTATGGAAAAAAAAAGGCATCAATTTGGGATTGCGCTCCGGTAGTAATACGCTCTCTGAGCTACAAAAGGGAAACATCGCAACGTTCTGCCTTCGAATGGTCCTACGTAAATTTGCACAGGGTGCAGACGATGTGCAGTTGATACGACGGGGAGGAGGACCCGTTACGCTTTTATGTCGTTTTTTTCTTTTTTTTTTCCGCTGTTGTGCGTTGTTCGCTGCAAGTTGGCCACCTTGCCAAGTGAAAGAACATGTCGAATGGGACACCCATGCGCTTGGCGCAGTATATGACATTAGCACGTGGAGCATACTCGATGGATGAAAGATTGACGGGTGCGCGGAGGGCAAAACGAAGCTTCAATGTCAGTGTGTGTTACTTATGAAGAGGTGTTTATTCTCCCTCAGTGGGGTTAACGGCTTTTTTTTTTCTTTTTTAATTGGCATAAATTTACACGCGTAATTGCCGCACTGGAGCTCTTTTTTTTTCTGCTCCACTTCTTTGCCCCCTTGTTTGTACTCATTCTTTGTACCCCACATTTTGCCCTCTTCTTTGCTGAGCTTGGCTGAACCAGTGTGAGCAGATAGCCAGATGGCGTGATGCGAACGGGGAAGAAGCAAAACGGGGGAGAAGGGAATGGGTGATGTGATTATCGTGTGGCGAACTTTCTCAGAGGAGGCCATCCCCTGTGAGGAGCCTCCCAGGTGTGCACACGCCGTGGGAAGCAACTTCCACGCGGGACACAGCGGTGAACTCCCGATTAGACCTTCCACGGAGGGGAAAAATGCCGAGGGGAGATCTCCAGGACAGGGACGAAACGAAGCGCCGCAAGGGAGGTGATGGCGACACGAAGGGAGAGCGGTTAGATCCACCGAACGCGCGCCTGAGCATAATCAAGGACAAGTCATGGAGCAGCGAAAGCATATTTAATAGCATCCTGTTCAGCAACCTATCGAAAGAACAAATCAAAATAGTGCAGGTGCCCCTTAACAGGAATTTATGTATTATTGCCTGTCCAGGGTCAGGCAAAACGTCCACGCTGACAGCACGCATTATCCGAACCATCATCGAAAGGAAAAAATCTGTTGTGTGTATAACCTTCACGAATTATGCAGCGAACGATTTGAAGGAAAAAATTACAAAAAAGATTAACTGCTTGATAGACCTATATTTAGACACAGATGTGAGGTGCAAACTGTTTAGCGACAAAACTTCGAGGAAGAAGTGCGACACGGGTAGTAAGATCCACAGTAAGACCAAGATCAAGGTGCTGCACACAGTCATGTTCATAGGAACGATTCACTCCTTCTGTAGGTATCTTCTCTTCAAATATAAGGGGCCCTTCAAAATATTGACCGATTTTATAAGTTCAAATGTTATCAAATTAGCCTTTAATAATTTTTACGCCTCCTTTTTGAAGGGGAAAGGTACAGAAGGAGTAGAAATAAATTGTGTGGCATCGGGGAAAGAGACACGGAATGACACCAAAGGGTCATTCGATCTGATGAACTTCTTTACCACTTTGAAGAAAAGCTTCAGTAAGAGGGACGCGCAGGAGATAGAGGATGAAGCGGAAGGGCAGGGCGGTGAAGATGGGGAAGGCGGCGACGATGATGATGATGATGGGGAACACTTTTACAACTACCTCTACCACGTCAAACACGCGAACGAGAGGAGGGACCACTTCGAACATGCCGACATCCCAAGCATCCTCAAAAAAAAACACATTTTATTTTTGAAGAAAAAAATAAAATTCTTCAAATATGTCGAGCTGTACCAGATGAAGATCGAAATTAACCCCGTGGAGGCAAAGTTCTACGCGGAGTATAAGAGGATCCTTCAAAGTGCCAAATATATTTACTACGACTTCGACGATTTGCTCATCGAGACGTACAGACTGATGAAGGAGGACGAGCGTATCCGGGAAAGAATCCTAGCCGAGTGGCAATACATGTTTTGCGACGAGTTCCAGGACATCAACACGACGCAGTTCAACATTTTGCAGTTTTTCGCCAATGGAAGTGGCGGCAGGGGGGCGGCGTGGACCCGGGCTCCACACAGCGGAAACCCTCCAAATGGAGCCATCCCCCCAAATGGAGCCATCCCTCCGAATGGAGCCATCCCTCCGAATGGACCCATCACACCAAGCAGAGCCATCCCACCATACTGTCCCCACCAGTCGGACAGGAGCCTCACCGTCATTGGGGACGACGACCAATCCATTTACTCCTTCAGGGGCGCCCACGTTAACGTGTTTGACAGAATTATAAAAGAGCACAACTGCCTGTTGTTCAAACTGGGAACAAATTTTAGAAGCACCAAAGAAATCGTTCGAGTTTCGTATAACCTCATTCTGCACAATGCCAGTTGCAGAATAGAAAAGGAGCTACGCACGAACAACGTGCAGGGAGAAAAGGTAAACTTCCATGCCTTCAAAACGAACAATGATCAGGTGTCGTTTATCTTGTCCCAAATCATTTTTTTAAAAAAAAAGTATAGCTACAAGTTTGGCGATTTTGTGGTCCTGTCTAGGACGAACAGGACGCTGAAGGAGACTCTCAAGTGCATGCAGAGCGTGGATGTGAGGAGGAGGGCCGTCAAATTCTTTCACCAACGGGGGAAGGCAGGCGGAGCGTCAGGAGATGGGGTAGGCGGTGCGGAAAATTGTCCTCCAAGTGATGGACCACGCTCGGGGGAGCACCACTGGACGGACGTAACCCCAGAGACATTCAAAATACCCATCAAGGAGCTGAACAAAAAGAAGTCCTTCTTCGGGTCCAGAGAAATCGTGGAGTTAATAACCGTCCTGAGATTCCTCCTCAACGTGGACGATGACATCATTTTGAAGAAGGCCTTTAAGATTGTAAAAAATGACAGGGCGGTGCGGGGCATACTGGAGAAGCTGGAAAGAAGCGACTTTGACGGGACCGAGCAGGGAGCAGAAGTATTCTCAACCGCTGCAGGGGGAAACGGCCCCTCCCTTTTCAACCGTATCGAGAGGATCACCCACTGGTACATCCTCTGGAAGAGGAATCAATTGGATGGAGATGGGGTCCACCACTTGGACTTGTTCACAGAAGGGGAGATAAAAAAAATCCTAGACTTTTTTTTTTGCGTAAATTATTTTTTAAAATTCGCCTCGCAACCGAACTCTGTGTACAGCCTGGTGATGGACATGTTGAGCAAGACGAGTTTCGTGAAAAGGACTCTCAAAAGGGTGAGACGGAGACGAGAAGAAGAGATGAAGGGGGGACAGCAGCAGCGGGAGGAGTGGGACCAGCAGAAGGAGCAGTCGGAGCAGCAGGAGCAGCTGCAGAGGAAGAAGCGCTCCTTCGACGAGTGCGCGGGTGATAGCGATGGGAACCACCCCGACCTCGTGAACGAGCTCAAAATCAAGCGCGATCTTTGCACGCACTTCGGACTGAGCGAGGAAGACCTCGCCGAACAGGAGATGCAAAACATATTTGTCCTATTAGAGATGACAATGGAGTATAAGCCCAACCAGATAAATGAAAACTGCTCAGACTGTCTCATTTCCTTCCTAAATGACTTTAAGAATGACATACACGACAGAATGTTAGTGGAGAAGGTGACCCTGACGACGATCCACAAGTCGAAGGGGTTAGAGTGGAAGGTTGTATTCATTGTCAATGCTATGGAAGGGGAAATCCCGCAGACGGCGGAAAATACTAGGGACATAATTGAGGAGAGGAAAATCTTCTATGTAGGCATTACTAGGGCCAAGTTTTTCTTGTACCTGCTCTGCTTCTTGCAGAACAATCACACGGCGGAGAAGAACACCGTGTCGAGGTTCGTCAGTCAGATGGCCATTTGAGCGGATTGCCATTTGATCGGACCGCCAGTGGGGTGGGGCAGCATTGGTGAGGAGGAAGCAGTGGTGAGGAAGCAATACTGATGAAGCAATCGTTGGACAGCCATCGCACTAGCGTCTTATCACCTTCTTTTAGAGGCGTCTCTTTTTTTTTGTGTGTTAATACAGGGGAGGAAAGAAAAGGATGATATGACGCCTCGAATTAGTCCCATCATTTAACAGGGCTACGCGGTGCGTTGGGCATTCCCGCGCGTGTGCACGGAGCGGGAGCCCTCCCGTCGTTTTGGTGCGGTGGATGGAGGTTCGATGGAGCGGCGCAGTAAGTTTTCGTTTAGCCGCTCCCATCTGCCAGGCATCGTTCCACGCGAGAAAGGCATCACCAACTGGAGTGTCGCCCCTCTATATAGGCGTCCAATGTATGTCCACACGATGTAAAAGGATTTTTTTTTTTTTTTTTTTTCTTTTTTTTTTTTCCCACTTGTAACGTCACTTCCGCCTTCCTCTTTGCTGCGCCGGGGAAACTCAAAATGTCCGTCCACTTCCGCGAGTTGTTTCCATCGAACAAGTACTGATGAGGAGTCGCTGCCAGAGCTGTGAGCGTGTATGTCCATGTGCAGTGTGCACACAGCATTTTTGTGTACGATTTCTTTTTTCGTTGAACTTCCCTTTTGTTCAATTCACGCACATACGTGTGCAGCCCAGCTGCTAGACCCTCCACGATGTTGTCCCTCCTTTCCACTGCGACCTTCCCCTCCCCTCAGGGTGATAAAGTTTCGAACCGACTTTCGTAACACAATCTACGATTTGTTCCTGCACAGAAAATGGGAGCTCACCACAAGGTAAGGGAAGAGCCGCAATACTCATCACACCGCGTTACACATCACGCCGGGTTACCCATCATGCCGCCTTCCCTGCCCAACAGCGAAACCGACTGGAACATGTGCTGGTCGGAGAAGGACTGGATAAACGAGGTGTACGACACGCTGTCCCTGAGGAACAATCAGTACGTCAATCACTTCAGGAATTACTACGAGGTGAGGCTCTCCTCTACATCCGTTGCTGCGTGTAGCGATGGCTGCTTCTATCGGTTGGCGGTGTCCACTCCACCAGCGAAGAAGGCATGTGCGTCGTGTGCAACTCAATTGTTTGGCCCTATCCCGCGTATGACCCTACTGCATTACCCTTCACCCTGCTTTCTCTTTGAACCGCCTGGCCCGAAGCTTACGCGGAAGGACCTGCTCGCCAAGAACATGAAGAGGCTGAAGAAGCAAAATGAGAAGAAGCAAAATGAGAGGAAGCAGAATGAGAAGATGAAAAATGAGCAGACGAAAAACGAGGAGGACCTGAATCTCATAGACATAACCCCGGTGACGTTCGTCCTTCCACTTGAGTATAAGCTATTCCTGGAGGAATACAAACGGAGGAGCAACCGCATGTGGATTATGAAGCCGATTGGGAAGTCCCAGGGGAAGGGAATTTTCCTTTTCAACAAAATATCACAGATAAAGAGTTGGAGTGTCGGTCGGCAGAGGGAGAAGGACGCGGACAGGGGGAGAAACACCGATAGGGGAAGAGACGCAGACCGAAATAAAGCAGCGGAAGTGGGTAGACCCCCCGAACAGGGAACAGATACGTACCGAAATAAAGCCTCCGAACTGGAGAAGGAGGCCGATCGACCAGAGCAGTACATCGTGCAAGAGTATATCTCTAACCCGCTTCTCATCGGCGGGAAGAAGTTCGACATCCGCCTGTACGTCCTCATCGTGAGCTACTCCCCTTTGACGATATACCTCTACAGGAGTGGCTTCGCCAGATTTTCACACACGTACTTTAAAAACGAAAAAAACAATATGACAGATATCACGATGCACTTGACGAATGTGTCTATACAGAAGAATGCAGAGGGATACGACGACAATGTGGGAGGCAAATGGTTCGTCAGAGAGTTATTCCTCTACATGATCAGTCGTTACGGGGAGGATCGAATTATGACACTGATTAGAGACATAGAAAACTGCATCATTCAGTCGTTCTTAGCAGTTCATAAGATCATCATAAATGACAGACATTGTTTTGAGCTCTATGGATTCGACATCCTCATCGATAGCAATTTGAAGCCATGGCTCATCGAAGTCAATTCCTCTCCTTCTCTTTCTGCCAACACGAAGGAGGACTACACACTTAAGTTTAACATGCTCGATGAGCTAATGTCACTAATCAATTTAGAGATGTATGACATGCCGGAGACGGACCGAATTGGAGACTTTGACTGCATCTACAGAAGGGGCAGTCGGGTTGTCCCTTCTCAGCCCTACAACTTTTTTTCTCACTTGGGTAGGACCCCACCAGGGGGGAGAAGTAGTGCTAGTATCAGAAGTAGTAGTATTCGTAGCGGCAGCGGTGGAAGTAGGAGGGACGGCACTTCTGCCATCTGAGCGTCTCCTTATCCACTCCCACCTTTCCTCCCTTTTAGGGGCACAGCTCTCGGGAACGGAGCATCTGAAGCAGATGGCAAAGGATATCAAACGGGGCATGTCCACGGAAGGGAGCCTCGAAAAAGGAGGGACAACATGAAACAGGAAATGGAGAAGTGTAAGACGTGTCTATGTGTTGACGTATCAATGTGTCCATGTGCCTATGTGTCACCCTGTCACAGCGGGTGGCCACTCCATGGGGCCCTTCTTTCCGCTCAGCCCATGCAGGCGTCGGTCGAGGCTCCTGTGGTACTCCCTTGACAGCCTTCTGAAGTTATTGTTCTCGGCCAGGTCCTTGGCGAAGAAGAGGGTTTTCTCCTTCAGCAGGCGCATCTGCGGGGGAGGGGAGCATCAGACAAGGGGGTATACACGTGTTAGAGGGGGAGTGTTAACGCTAGTGAGAGTGCTACTTCAAGTGTACACCCATGTGCACATGTATCTCTAACATGCAGACATGTCTGTAACTGGGTCTATGCCTTGGGGCATGCTACGCGCAGCAGCAGCACGCCGCCGCCATCATGCGACTAACCTTCCTCGATATGTCCCTGCGGAGGGTGTACGGGATGAGGGGAGAAACACTACTCCTCCCCGGGGAGGCCCCCTCGTTATGAGGAACGAGCACCGAGTTGTTCCTTCCCCAGTACAAATCGTAAAGAGTAAAACCGATAAAACATCCGGGGACAACTGACCCCCCGAGGGCTAATACTTTGAATGCTCTGTACCTACTGCTCAGTGAATCGGGTCGAGTAATCTGATAATGTAGGTCGGCATATTTATGGACAAGCAGCTGGTTAATGCACTTGATACTTTTAAAACCCCATAGAGTCGTCAGCAAAATGGAGAAATGGATTAACTTGGGTTCGTACAACAGGGTCAGGGATGAGTAGAATCTTTTTGCTAATTCGATAAATGGGGAGATGTACTGGTGCAGGGGTGGTTTCTTCGCTTCGGTGAGGGGAGCTCGTCTCGATGGATCGTCGGGAGATGCTTCAACTGACGCCTTCATCGAGGTCTTCTCCTCCACATACTGCTCCTTCTTTGTAACTCCTCCATACCGTTTCCTGTACTCATCTTGTATGGTCCTGTTAAATTGGTCATTCTCTAGTTGTTCTTTTAGGTAAAAATGTCCCCTTTCCATTTTTTATTTTTCAGATGTTTCTGCTGGGCGAGGTGGGGTCGAGAGCCATATACACGTTCGCCTTCCTTTCCTTTTGCTTCTTCTTTTGCATTTGCTTCTGCCCTTGCCTGCGCGAGGATGGGGCACCCCCCTAGCTACCTCCCCACGTGTCGCATCACCTGTCCTTTGGTGATGCAGAGTTAAGCTGTCCCTTAAGGGGAAATAGTTGTAGAGGGAACGTATCCTATTTGGTGTAAATGGGGAGTCCTTCTTTTATCTGGTCAATTGGGTTGACCAACTTACAGAGTAGGGTCAAGTCGGCGGGGAGAGTGACTAAATGGATAAGCGGCGAGAAGAGTAAGGGGACGATGAAGAAAAACAAGCCGACGAAGAAGGGCAAAGAGACTCGGAGAATTTTCCCCCTTCACAGATGGGCACATAAAAATATAATGTGTTAAGCTTGCAACGCGACATGCGAATGCTGCGCCCACAGGTGGAGATGCGTGCGTAACGTGATGCATCCATAGTGTACGCGCAGGTGGGCAACTTCTCGTGCAGGTACTTCACCGTTTCATCGCTCCACCGCTTCCGTTCTTTTCTGTTCTTCCTGTCCCGCTGACCTCATCTGCGCCCCACCCGGTTTGAGAAACACCTGAACGAGGCGCAATATTGCCTGAACGGAAAAAAAAAAAAAAAAAAAAAAGAAACACACAAGGGTGAAGTAGTAAAAGGGGAAGAAGCAAAAGGGTGAAGTAGTAACAGGGAAGAAGAACAAAGTGAAGAAGAACACAGTGAAGCAAACTTCCTCACCGCGCTCACGCAAGAATGCCTATCTGTGCATACGACCACGCGCGCGTTATGCGAACAGCATGCACGTTTTCTTTTGGCGCTTAAGCTGGTAAGCCCGCCCCCCTTTTTCACCCACGTAAGAATCCCTGGCGTGATTATTTGCAAAGAAGCGGCTCGGCGAAGAAGCGATCGGCAAGGAAGCGGACGGCAAAGAAGCGGTCGGCAAAGAAGCGGTCGGCGGTGGAAGGATGTGTTACGCAGACCACTCAGTTGTGCTATCGGTGTAGAGGTGAAGCGGTGAAGTGGCGAAGGGAAGCACGAGCATACGTACGTATATGTGCACACACGTGGGCATATACCCCCCCCAGCGCCTGGTGTGCATTCCTGTGTGGACCGCTAGGCGGCCATTTCTGTAAGCACACATTGGGGGAAAGGAAGTTCGCCTCGAGATCGCATCAAAAGCGCTTCGTCATCCCATCAATAACGCATCGAGTGCTTCTCATTCAAGGAAGAGTAGATCTCCCTCCGTTCCACGCCGCGCCATTTTGAGTCAAGGAACCCCGTCTCCCCCCCGAAAGAGAAACAAAATGAACGAACACAGGTCAAGAGACTACGATTACCTGTACAAAATAATACTCATTGGAGACAGCGGCGTGGGGAAGTCATGTATCCTATTACGCTTTTCAGATGATCACTTCACCGAAAGCTACATAACGACCATAGGAGTGGATTTCCGTTTCAGAAGAATAAAAGTTGCAGACAAGATGGTGAAGCTACAAATATGGGATACAGCTGGACAGGAAAGATTCAGGACCATCACGTCGGCCTACTATAGAGGAGCCGATGGGATTATCATTATATACGACACGACGGATAGGAACTCCTTCCTTCATATCAAAGAATGGATGAATGAAATAAACAAGTATACAACTGAGGAGACTTGTAAGCTACTCGTCGGGAACAAATCAGATTGCAAAGACGAAATGGAGATCTCCACCACGGAAGGAGAAAACAAAGCGAAGGAGTTAAATATGCCTTTTATAGAAACCTCTGCTAAAGATGCTACGAATGTTGAATTGGCTTTTACTATGATCACTGAGGAGCTGATTAAAAAGAAGAAGAAGAAGAGTGCCTCCTCGCTGGGAGGGCAACAGTCCAAGGTGAAGTTGTCTCCGGAGGACCACGGCCCGGGCGCGTTCTGCTCCTGCTGAGGGGGGGAAGCGGTGAGGCGGCGAGGCGATGACGCGGTAAAACGGAGAAGCCATGGCGTGACGAACGGAGGGGTATCTGCCCCGTCTACGGAAGGAAGCACACTGGGAGGAAGCACACGTCGCACGGCCCCTTCATCGCTCGGCCCCTTCATTGAGTGGCCCCTCCATCGACGTCCACCCACCAAGTTTGTTAGTGTCTTTTCTAGTGAGACAGTCCCCCTTCCTTGCGAAGCAGACTGCGACTGACCAGTCCACCCCGTTTGCGCAAGTTCGCACAGGCGAAGAGTAACCACTCCTAGTAGTGAACCCCCCCGATTGATAAAGCGAATTTTTTTTTCTTTTTTTCTTTTTTTTTTTTTTTCCATTTTCCTCTTCCACCCCTTAAATGTGTTCGCTGCCCCCTCTGTGCGCCCATTTGATAAGCGCCTCCATAAGCATATAAAAATAAATCCACCAAAGGGAGAGAAGTCCCCTTGCACGGCAGAGTGTCTACATGCATGCAGAAGATTACCTGCGAATAGTTGCACATAGTGTGTGTAGGTCTAGCCACGCACGTACAGTCTATTTTTTTTACTTCTTTTTTTTTTTTTTTTTGTAAACGTGGATTCAGAGGATAGCTATTGTTTTCCCCATTAAAACTTATTTGTGAATGTGAAGCTCCCTAGCGTGCGGGAGTAGACGTGCTAAACAGAGCAACATACGGGGTCAGCTCTCGCAGGGCGGGTAAACTTGCAGAGGAGATTAGCCCTCTCAACGCGTTCCTCTTAAATGTTCCCTACAATATGTTCGTCTTAAGTGCCCCCTACTGTGCGTTCCTCTTACGTGGTGATTACACTCCTAGGCAGCCGAAGTTAAGGGCGCCTCGCAAAATTGCCTCTCGCGTGTGTGTAGGGACCCGTTCAGGCTAAGGCGCAAACACGCAGAGGTGGCGTGTAAGTACACTCCAGGTGTGTGGAAAAAGAAAAAAAAAAAGAAAAAAAAGAAGCTGCAACTGCGTGGTGATGCAGGTGGGAAATTAAAAATGGTGACGTGGATGGGATTGCGCATGAGGTAGTTCCCACTGGGCCGCTTCCACATCGTCGCTCCCACGTGGCCTCTCCCCCCCCAGGCTAGGCGAAGCTGAAGGTGACCTCGTAGGCCTTGTTCTTCGCGTGGCACTTGCAGTGGAAGGAGCTATTATACTTGGCCCGATTTCTATTGTACAGGTTGATGAATTCAGCAGTCAAGACCAGAATGGACTCCTCGAAAAGTTCTCCCCCTGGAGAGGAGCTGTGGACGTAGGTCTTTGGATATATGGTGAGAAATCCCTTGCTGTCCTTGAGGTAATCCCGAATGAAAACCTTTTTCTTGTTATCGTAAATTTCGTTGAAGCAGGTGTTTTTGTTCTTCTTGTTAACGGGGCAGATGATACCAAGGGTGATTTGCGTGGCTGGCTCCGTCTCCACCCCCATGTTAACCGTGACGCTGACTTTGTTGCCGTTAACCTCTACCTTATCGCAGTTATTTTTAACTCCAGCATATTCGCAGATGTTATTTTTGCTGGAGAAGTCGACACCTAAGATGGGTTCCTCCACCCCCCCCGCATGGAAAGAGACATTCTTATTCTGTGTTTTCTGAGACCCATTGTTACTGAGGAAAAGCATCTGAGTAGTCGACTTGGAGGGAATAAAAGAAGGCAGCTTAAATATGTAGTAGTAATCGTCTACCTTGATGTATCTCGTATTCGGAGGGAAAGAGACGCTCTTTAGCAGATTTTGAGATCGCGCATCTGGTAGTTTAAAGTATATAATATTGTTCGGGTAGAGGTTTACAACCGATTGTTTCACATCTGTATTGTCGAGAATAAAATTACTCTTATAGTTGATGTGAAGAGAAAGGTAGAAGTCTTCTCCTAAGTAGCATTCCAATGTCATATCTTTGAGGAAATATTTTTCCAGATCTTTTTTGATATACAATGTATAGAGTTTAAAGTTGCTGTATTCGTAGACGCTCTCAATTTTGTGGACAATGTTGACGGGTTCTAACATATTGTCGTATCTTAAGTAGAAGCATTTTCGTATGTCTTGTCTGACTCCGTTGTAGATGCTCACGGTGAAGAATCGATCCTCCCCTTCGACGGTTAAATCGTCGTAGTTCACATCGCAGTAGTATTTGTTGTCCCGTTTGACAAATCCTGCATTCATATGATCCTTCTTTATATACATGAGCGTGCAGTACTTGACTGTCCCTACGTGCGACAAGACGTACGTGTATGCTTCCTTCTCATTAGTGTAGTTATAAATCAGCCTCTGACTATCCAATTGGAAGAGTTTGCCCCGGTGGTACTCTGCTCCAATACTTTTTGGCACCTCTAACGGCATCAAGTAGGTGTTCCTGTACATATAGTACAGAGTGCATGGTGGAGCCTTTCCGTCCGACAGAGGAGCCACATAGTAACCCCTCATTTTGGCAAGGTCCCAAATGTAACTTTGTTCTCTCACCAGGTTAAGATCTTGGCACTCGAAGTCGTGGTCCTTTTTGTATGAACACTTGAGATACTTAGTGAGGGATACCTTGGAGGCGAGGTACTGGAAGCCGATTTCATTTCCGCTGATCTTCGGCACGAGGCTTTCGTACGCCGTGTGCTTGTCCATGTTGGGGTGGTAGAAGTGGAGTCGTCTCCTGCATTGGAAGGGGAGCGATTAGAAGGGACACAATTGGAAATGATGCAGTTGGAAATGATGCAGTTGGAAATGATGCAGTTAGAAATGATGCAGTTGGAAATGATGCAGTTAGAAATGATGCAGTTAGAAATGACGCGTGGAGACAGCACAGGGCAGGCTTCGCATCGGAAGAGCAATTCGTCCCCTCCCCGCGCTTCCTCCCATTCCGCCGCTTGCAGCCGCTCCATGGCTTCTTACCCCCAGGTGAGCCCCCCATCCGCGCTGGCGTGGCAGATCACGAGCAGCCCCACGTTGGGCCTGTTGTTCCGCTTCGTGTTCACCCCGCAAATGAGGAAGTGTCCCACGCCGAAGAGTTCGAAGGAGCTCATCGCGTAGTCACTGAAGGAAGACGGCTGAAACATCTGCAAGTCGATCTCTATCTTGTCCGTTTGCAACGTCTTCAAATCATCAGTGATGCTTCTGTAGCATTCGTATGGTGGACTCGTAAGATTCTTGTTAAAGCAAAACACCACGACGAGCTGCTCCTCATTTGTGAAGCTGTAAAAATATCGGAGCATTTTTTGCGTATAGTTATTCAATATTTTGCTGTGCTCTTTCCATTTCTTGTCTTCCCCGTAGGAGCTAATCATTATGTTATATAGTGTCACCACGTTTGAGAGTCTCTTGTCTAGACACACCTGCACAATTTGTCCTTTGAAGTTAACGAAGTGCTCGAGGTAGCACTGCTTCATGTCGGTATCCTTCGAGATTAGCTCATTTTCGACTTTAAAGTAGAAACCTTGTGCCCCCCGGCACGCTATGGACACCCATAGGAGGAGGCCGAGCAGGGAGCTCAGCGCCGCCATTTCTCATGCGTTTGGGAGGGGCTGCGTCTGTCACCGGATGCGTCTGCCAGCGGCTGAGTCTCTGAGCGACTGCGTTTATTTGTAACTCTGTTAGTGATTCTGCCTGTGGGCCACTGCGATTGTAGGGGATTGTCTACACGTGGGTGTCTGTGCCTGTGCCTCTGCCTCTCGGCTGCGTCCCGATCTGCTCTTACGCCTTTCTGACTGCCACTACGCGTGCACCTTAAACGGGTCGACAACACGTCATTATTTTAATGCCCCCCTCTTTCGCTTCGATCCCCTCCTTCCCACTCGAGGTCCCTCCTCAGTGGTACCACCTTGGTGGGAAAAAAAAAAAAATTCTGAGCGCAAAGGAAAAGAAGGAAACCGCTATAGAAGCATCAAATACGCGAGTGAAGGGGAGAGAAGCGCAAATCATGCGTGCTCTTGCGTGGAGGGACTATTCCCATGCGTCTTTCAATAAAAAAAAAATAAAAATAAAATAATAAAACGAAACGGAGTAGGGAGCACCTTTCGATGTCGTGTGTGCACACGCAAATCTAACCCGAATGACCCCAACTCAATCGCGTCAACCCTGTGAAGACCGACAATTTAGGTAAACCTCAATCAGATGGACCGGATGAAACAAAAAAAGCTCACCTGTGTGTATGCATGTCCCGATTAGTGGGCCTTGGAACGGTGACGCGGCAGGTGTACGTACAGGGAAGAACTATGAATCGGGGGGGCGTTTAAACCAGGTTCCACAGGGAGAATTCACTCCTAGAGGATATACCCCATATGTACGTACTCCTCCGTGGATGTTGGGCTCGTGTAATGAGGGGTCCGATTCAAGATGGTCAACCTGTTGTCCTTCCACCTGACCATCTCCCTCTTTTATCCCCATGTTACCTGACAAGTCAGGTGATTCTTTCCCCCCTCATAAATCCTACTAAGCGTATACCAAGCAGACGATGACAAAGTAACGTTGAAGGCCATCCTCACACACAAAAAAGAAAAGTGCCGCATTTGTCCCTCCCGTACCGGTGCAGACGCATTTATCGCGCCGTTGACCAGACAGGTTGCATCCTCTTCGCCACTTCTTTTTAATGCTGCCTGCATGAGGATACACAAAGTGGGGCGACGCAAACAAGCTGTTATGTGTCCACATTCATGCCCCCTTATGAGAAGTGCAATTGGAGCGGCTGCTGCTACTTCCCATCACACGTAGGCTTATTCTTGTTTTCACGGCGGACTGCTTCAAGGGGGTGTGTAGTTTGTAGTCTTTCCTAACGGAAGTGGCCCTCTGTTCTTGGTATTTGGCAGGTCCGCCCCGTCTAGCCCGTCTGCCCCTTCTCCGGGTGTGTCCATTTCATCCATCTGTATTGGGTCGATTGCCTTCGTTACTCTGATTGCCTCACTTGGCCGAACTCCGCAAAGGGACAGCGCCGGCATTATATGTGCGTCCCTTCTGATCATCACAGTTGATATTCCACGTGTGGAGGGTCCCCCCCGGGACGGATGTAAACTGGGCAGCCTCGCCCCATTCCCTCCTGATGGGATAGTCGCATGGTTACATCACCATCTTCTCACCTCTTCACTTACATAGTAACAGGGTACGTTGTAGCGTTCCCTTCTCTTGTAAAAAAAAAAAAAAAAAAAAATTATTCTTCGAGCTATCACCTTGTCGTGTAGCCAATTGGGTAGTGTGCTGTGATGCATCAGGACGCCGGTTAGTGTTCGTTAAGTTTAGCAGATTTTGGCCACCTCTGGTGAGAAGGAAACAGGCGAAGTTGTGAAGCCGAGCCTCTTCGCTTCGACTCCTTTTGCTCCCATTCGCTGCGTTTTTCTTTTTTTTTCTTTTTTTTTTTTTTTTTTTTTTTTTTTTTTGCTCTCTTTTTGCTCTTTAGCATTGTTCACCCTGTATTTCGTTCCCCGAGTTCCTTTTTCGCCGAGTTTTTTCTTCGCGCAGTTTCTTCTTCGCCCCGGTCCCTCAGTCGACTGTGCACAGAGGGGTGTCATACCCCCCGGCGGGATCCTGATAAAAACGAAACAAATCGAACTGCGCGAAAAGTGGCCCCAAACGATTCACACACATTTCTTTTCTTCCTGCGAGAATTGGCGGTTCAGTAAGGGCAATTTTGCCAACTTTATTTCTCCTCCCTTGTTCACCATTTCCGTCACCATCCTTTTCCTGTTCCTCCGCACGTTCCTGTGCATGCTTGGTTATTATTATTATCTTTTTTTTTTCTCTCTCTTTAAATTGATACTTCATGTGTTTGAAATGAGAAGCGGGACGTTCCCCAAGTTGGTGTGCAAGTGGAAGAACGCTTTTGTCAAATTGACTAGCGAAAAGGGAGCGATACGAAAGGCATACACGGAGGAGTGGCTGTCACGATGATGAGCGTACTGTCTGCAGATTTATAAGAGAACAATATTTCTCCTTGCCAGGAGGTACTTTCACCTCCTTTGTGTGTGTCGCTGTTTCTGTGTTTCTCCGTTTGTGTGTTTCTCCGTTTGTGTATTTCTGCGTTTTTGTGTTTGTCTGTTTGTGTATTCCTGGTCCCACGTTTCAGAAGGAGTTTTTCTCCCCCTTGCATGATAGCCTCCGTCGGACACAACCAAGTGGGGTGCCAGTTATCTAGAGGACTTATTCACCACAGGAGTGAGTGCCTGCATGTGCAGGGGCTACGAGAAGTTTTCCCTGTGAGATATAAAAGTGAAGGATCCTTTGGGGGAAGCAGCTCGATCTGATCATCCTACACGGAAGGGAAAACAAAATGAACGAACCAGGGGGGATTATGAAAGACCAAGTGGGGATAATGAACCAACCAGGACGGATTATGGACGAACCAGGACGGATTATGAACCAACCAGGGAGTATTATGAACGAGCAAGGAAAAGGCACCCTGCTGGTGAGCGAACGGAACAAAGAACCAAACGTGCACAGTGAAAGACGTCCAACAGACCCCCATGGTGAGACGCACGAAAAGAAAAAAACCCTCCACCAAGAAATGCCAACAGGTAATGTAACAACCGGGGAGGAGGAAGAAAAAAAAAGAAAAAAAAAAAAAAGAAAAAAAACAGAAAAAACAGAAAATTTGCTAAAGGAGAACCGAAAAAGTGACATCAAGGAAGAAAAGATAAACACAGAGAGTTCAAAAATGGATCCACCTGAGGAAAAAGACAACAGAAGTGCAAATCTCAATGAAGAGACGTTCGTGAAGAAAGCACCTAGTGATGACCTGGTGTGCATACCACGAGAAGAACGTGCGTCTAAAATGGGCACGAACAAGGCGGAAACGTCTAACGGGCAGGAAAGATCCAAGACAGCAAAACTCACCAAACTGATGCCAGAAAGAGGGGGCAAAAAGGAAGAAGCGAGAGGCAGTAGTGACCCAGTGAGAGGCAAGAGTGACCCAGGGAGGGGCAAGGATGGTGCCCTAGGAAGCAGAAATGAGTTAATGGAGAGGAGGAATGGCTCGATGCACACTCCCAAGGGGTCATTGGGAAGTCGCGATGGCCTCCAAAATAACCCAGCGGGCTTCTCGCCCAATTCTGCGCCAAGATCGGCCCAAAAATTGGCCTCAAAATCGGCCCCAAAATTGATCTCAAAATTGGCCCCAAAATTGGCCTCAAAATTGGCACCCAAATTGTCCTCAAAGTTGCCACCCAAATCGGCCTCAAAATTGGCACCAAAATCGGCCCAAAAATTGGCACCCAAATTGTCCTCAAAGTTGCCACCCAAATCGGCCTCAAAATTGGCAGTCAATTCTGCGCCAACCGCCGCGCCGCACCTCCCGCGAAGTGGCCCCGTGAGCACCATTGCGTTGAACCGAGGCAAGTGCGCCTCGCTAAAGAAGGTGCCTCCATCGACGTCCCACGGACAGAGAGGCAAAACGAACTTCCCATCAGTGCATCCGGGTTTGAGGAAGGAAAGCACCACGCCGAGGGGGAGTGAAGACAAACGGAAGAGGAACCCATTTGAGATATCTCGGGAGAAAAAAATGACCATTTTGATGAAGCGGATCCGGTGCTTGACCTCCTTCGAAAGTGGCACTGAGAGCAGCGGGGGGGGAAATGAAGTAGGACAGAGGGGTTGCCCCAGTGACGGTGGAGGGGAGGAAGTAGGACCGAGGTGTAGCATAAAAGGCGGGGGGATAGATGCTACTACCAATGCAACTTCTATCCACCCTGGAGGGGGAATAGATGCTGCTACCAATGCAACTTCTAGCCCGCCTGGTGGGGGAACAGATGGTTTAAATGGAACGTCTAACCCTCCCAGAGAAGCGAAGGAGCAGAAGGAGACCCTACTCCTCCTCCTGACGAGGGACTTCCGCGTGAATGACAACTGGGCGCTGACATACGCACACGAGATGGCGAAAAAGAAGGGGTTCTCCCTCATCGCCTGCACATGCCTAAACAGGAAAGAAAAAGTAACGAACCGATTTATTTACACAAAGTTGAAGGTGCTAAAAAATCTAGAGCATGGACTGAAGCAGATGAACATCCCCTTCTACATCTTACCTCTCTACATGATCGATGAATTTATTGAATTCATAAAAATGCATCATGTAAAAATAATCACATGTGACCTGCATGTTCTGCATGATGAGAGAGCATTCATTAAATCCCTATCTCATTTTTGTAACAAGAGGAAGGTGAAAATGTTCCAGGTGGATTCACACAATGTTGTCCCCATGTGGGTGACTTCCAAAGTGGAGGAATTCTCAGTGAGGACGATCAAGCCAAAGATACAGACCCTTCTACCAACATTCCTAACTGAGTATGTGTCGTTGGACACTTTTGAGCAAAATTTGAAATTCCCTGACCCCTTCGACATAGAGGAGATGATTAACAAGCTCACCGTGTCTAAGACTTCTGAGGTGGTCCCCAATTTTGTCCCCACCGAAAAGAAGGCCCATGAATTGCTGAGCCATTTTTGCAGGAAGGCCCTCGATAAGTACAACGTGAAGAGGAACGACCCCAATAGCGACGCCGGCAATGTGCTGCTGCCCTACGTCAACTTGGGGGTCATATCTTCCCAGAGGTAGGGAAAAGCGGCATGGAGGGGACAGAAAGTGGACTGTGCCATCTGCTGCCCAGGGGTGGTGTGTAGCCCATTCGATTGCTTCCTTTAGAAACCGCCCCATCACCCCTTTTACGCTTCCTTCCTCCCCGTAGGTGCGTCCTGGAGGTGCACAAACACGCGTACAGCAACCCGTCCATAAACGCGGTGAGCGGAAAGGAGTCCTTCAGCGACGACTTTATCATGCGCAAGGAGCTGGCGGACAACTACTGCTATTATAACAAAAATTACGACAACTTCGAAGGCGGCAGGGACTGGGCCAAGGAAAGTCTCAAAAAACACGACGCAGATAAGAGGGAGTACCTATATGACTATGAAGATTTTCGGAGTGCCAAGACACACAGTGATATGTGGAATTGTTGCCAGCTGCAATTTATCCATGAAGGAATGATGCATGATTTTTTAAAAGTTTACTGGGCGAAGAAAATTCTGAACTGGTCAGGTAATTCTCAGACTGCCTTAAAATATGCCCTTCAGTTAAATGACGAATTCTCTATTGATGGGAAGACCCCCAGTGGGTATGCTTCCATCATGTGGTCTATCATGGGAGTGCATGACCAGAGTTGGAACGAGAGGGACATTTTTGGGAAAGTTCGATTTATAAATAGTAACGGATGTAAACGTAATTTCGATGTGAACATGTTCATGTCAAAATATCCCAAGGGAAAGGAGAACGCCTCAATTGTGAAGAAAATTCCGACCATTACGTTTGCCAGTTATTTGAAGAAGAGGAAAAGCGGCCCCGCGCTTCCTCTTCAGGAGTCCACACGGAAGAAGCACAGCAAGGGGCCACTTTTCCGCTGATGTGGATGCGCTGCGTGGGGAAGTTCCCTGGGCAGTACGCTGGGCAGTACCCTGGCCATTACATGTTTAAAAAAAGGCGTAAAGTTAAGTTAGTCACGCATGCTCAGCACGTCATCACGTCAGCACCTGAGCAGCTGAGTATCTTTGCACCGCTTCATCTTTGCGCATGACAGCACGCTGCTCCATTTAACACGCAAGAGTTTTCCCAACGCTGTGGGACGCGACCGGCCAACGAGTAAAAAACAAACAGGTGACTGCTGCTCAGCAGGTGCAGCGGCAGGACGAAGCAATAGGGGGCGTGCCCTTGAGAAGTTGCCCCTTGAGAAATTTCCCTCTCCCATTCCGCTTCGCAAACCGCTTCCCGAACCACACGCTACGTCATTTTCACGCGGCCAAATTACAACTTAGCAACAAATTCCTGCATGGATTTAATTAAAAAAAAAAAAGGGGGGGATACACACGCGGGGGTATTACACACATGTAAGTGTGCATGTGTATATGCAGATCTCCGGAGGGGACACAAAAAAAAAGGAGAATTGCTCGAATGGTGAAAGAATGGGGCAAAGAGGGGAAAGAAACAAAACGACACTGATGTAGAAAGCGGTAACGATAGCGACAAACTAGTAAATTTCGGGTGCCAAAAAGGTTTGCACACGGGCGTCATAAACGCACACGCCGCTGAGCATGTGCTCAAACCCGCGCAGGATTACTGCTGCTTCAAACTCTGCAACAGCACGTCCCTGGCAATTTCAGCCTTCTTCTGAATGTACGCGGAGCCATTGTACGACCCGCTTTTCTCATTCAGCCTGCTCAGTATCATATGTCTGTTATGAATCTCCTCCCGAAGGGCGTTTAATTCCTCCCTCGTCAAGTTTTTGTAAATCTTATTCTTATCCACGCTCAGGATGTTCAGCGCCTCCTCCACATTCATGCACGTGCTGTACTTTTCCTTGATGAAGTGCGTGTTCTTGTTCTTTATGATTTCTCTGTACGCCTGTTGGGGGTTATAAATGGGAAAAAGGGCAATGACTCAGGCGGGGAAAGTTCAAAAGCGGAGTTGCCCACATGCACGGCGTGACGAATGTGCCAGGTGCGCCCTCTTTGTTGAGTGAGCTAGGGAGTCAATCCTTCCCCGCACTCGCGTCTGTCCTACCTGTATGAAGGCCTTTCCCAAAGCAGTCGACGTTATGATGAGGAACTGAAAAACGAACTGGCTAAGGGGTCTAAAGGGTAACATTTTTAAAACACCCCCGTTATTAAAAAAAAAGAAAAAGGAAACGGTTCAACGTGGGCGAAAAAACTGGCCAAACGGGGGAAACGGGGCAAATACCGTCGAACGATGTGTGCGTTCCCCCTCTCCCGTTATGAAAGAAGAAAACTCAAAGGTATCCTCTTAAATTTGTCGCAGCTGCACGCACTTTCCATCATTAAAAAGGTCTGCTCTGAGGAGAAGCGTCTGACAACGCTGGGGGCCGTATAAATGTGTAGCTGTTCAGTTCAAATTGCACGGCCTCTATATAGATACGTGCAGGAATCTATGTGTCTCAGATTTCTGTTTATTTATTTTCCGTGGGTCTATTTTCGTTTCTCTACACCTCCAAAATGGGTGAGGCGTCTGCACCGACCTTGCTATCACGGATGAGTGTTCTTGCCCTTTTTTGTCCACCACGTTTCTCTCCTTTTTCGATACTTTTTTAATTGGCGTATCGGTCTGCGTCGTTGTGATGGGGTATGCGGTACGTCAGTGGTTAAGCAGCTAGCCAATTTGTAACTTAGCCAATTTGTAACTTAGCCAATTTGTAACTTAGCCAATTTGTAAGTTGGCCAACTTTAAGTCAACCAATTCAGTGCGAACCAACTTGGCAACTCGCTTCAAACTCCCACCCTCGATCGTTCCCTCAATTTCGTGTTTTACGCATCCCCTGGACATTCACCTTGGCTTCATTTTCCCAGCCGTCTCCCTCGCCTTCGCGCTGTTATGCTGTGACCGTAGCGGTAACTCTGCTCGGTGGCTCGGTGGCTCGGTTGTTCTGTCGCTCACCGCTTGGCCACTAGCTTATCCAATAACTGTAAACTGTATGCCCTCTCCCAAATCTACAAACCTGAACCAAATGGACCTGCAATGTTTTTTTATTTAACTCGTTTAATGTGAAAAAACGCCGTATGACCAGTTTTACGGAAAAGTAATTTTTTTTTTTTTTTGTATGAAAGGCAAGGTAAAAAAAGGGAAAAAGATGAAAAAGGAAGAAAAAAAAGAAAAAGAAAAAAAAAAACACCGCCGTTTTGTACTGCAATATAGCGTAAAGCCGCTTGGTCAAATTTTAACTGCATACATATAGTTTTATTAGTACTTTTTTTTTTTTCGGAGTTGCCAACAATATGTTGTAGTTTCTTCTGCTCCTTTTTTAAGTGGCTGTGGCGCGTTTTCTGTTGTTGTTGCTTCGCTTCTTTGTGAGTCTCGGTGGGCATGGCATGGATTGGCTTTTTTTTTCCCCCACCACGTGAGCAGCTTTCTCCTGCCGATGGAACCCCGACGTTGTTAAAATGATAAGGAAGGCCGCGCTGTCCCTCTTCAAGGAAGACACACGTACGTGGAGATGAGTCCAAATGGGTGGAAGTGCGTAGAAGCCCATTTGTGTAAAACCCTCTACGCGTAGGAGGCTGAGCGGAATTTGGGGAGACACGTATGCATAGTGAAGCATACACATATATCAGTGCGCGCTTTCATACCTGCTTGCCTGTTATGTCGCTCTCCCCTCGCTACATTTCCTTCACTGTCCACCGTTTCCCCCGGGCAGCAGGAACACCGTACTTGGCGAAGCCATTCCTTAATATCAACTTTTTAAACGAGGAAGAGCTCCCCTTTTGGCTGACCGATGAGAAACATGTACGTGAGCGAGGATACCGACAAGCATTTGTAAACGCGCCCGCGTGATGGCGCGGAAATTTTGCTTGATTGAATGGGGAAAGCATAGAACAGCCGAATTTATATCCTCAATTTTTTACACAACATGTGCCTAAATGGTGTCTTACGAAAGTGTGATTAAACCTGGTGTGATTAAACCTGATGTGATGTGCACGAATGGTGATTTGTTTTTCTCTTTTTTCTTCTTTCTTTTTTTTCGCAAAAGAAGCTATTATGTGGCGCATCGAACTTGTGAAGTCGCGATGGACACCGCGCGACAACTCGCACTAGGAAAAAGCGGCTCGTAAAGAACGCCTGTGCCGAAGTGTACCAACATGCAGCTGAACGAACAAACCACAGCTCGCCACTTGGCCCATTTCTCTCCCCAATGCAGATTAAAAAGTGCAACTCGATTTTCAACTCGAAAATTGTTGCCTACCCAGTTTATGTGGCCCAGACAATTCATAAGTATAAGCCGTCAGCCGTCCCACAGGTAGCCAAAAAGGGAAAAAAAAGAAAA